TATATCAAGTTATTATTAATATAGAGATATCAATGATATTATATCCAGCTTACATTAAAGAATTTTGCACTTCTCATTTTTCAATGATTTGTATATCTCATTAATTTCCTATTCCATCTTCACATCGAAAAACATCATACTTCATGGTAGTACGTATCTCATTAAATAACGTTTTGAAAAAAGAAGGGAACCGACAGAACACGGAGGGGTTAGGGTCGTTTCAAGGTGCGTGCCTCACCCTCCCGACATTTGTGCTTCTCTCCCCTATTTGTCTCTTCTTACGTCAAAACCACAATCAATCCCTCCTTTAATCACTGCTGCGACGGTCTTAAAAACCCCACTCATCTTTTCACTTTCTTCATATTCATTTCTTACACAAATCCAATCCCTTTTCAGTTCCGAAAGTACAACCCACACTCAGTACTCCATATATAATTCCTTCTCTTCAACTCTTCATCAAAGAGGAAGAGATAGAAACACACACACACACACAGAGAAAACACCATGAATAGTTTTGATTCTCAAAGGAAATCATGGCGAGATAGGAGATTCCCCAACAACAACATCAACCATAGATTTGTCAGTGCTACTACTGCTGCTGCTGCTTCGTCATCTTCTGCTAATTCTAACAGGCCTCAGAGTTTCCCCGCTGGCTTGATGGAGGTTGACGACCCTGTATCAAGCCTGGTCCCGCCAGTGACAGTGGTGCTTGAGGGCCGTTCAATCTGCCAACGCATCAGTCTTCATAAGCATTCCAGCTACCGAAGTCTGGCCGAGGCTCTGCGCCAGATGTTCGTGGAGGGGACTGAAGATGGAAGCACTTTGGAAAACAATCTCGACCTTTCTAATGCTATTCCCGGTCACCTCATCGCCTATGAAGACATGGAAAATGATCTTCTCCTTGCCGGCGACCTCCATTGGAAGTGCGTGTAGTATTAAAACGCCCATTTTAAGGTTTTTAAAATTCTTTATGATATACAGACACCACCGGCTGGCTGCACCTGATTTAAGTTCATACCTAAAAGGCTAACTACAACTTGAATGTCTCAAATTTTAAGCATTATTTTAACCAATAATTGTTGTTGTTTGTGTGAAATATGTAGGGATTTTGTACGAGTGGCAAAGAGAATACGAATACTGCCAGTGAAAAGAAACGAGAGGAAGAGAGGAGGAGAAGCATAGCTGCTTGGGATTTTGGCATTATTTGTGGATTGCAGAGGCAAAGGAATTGAAAGTTTTGTGAAATTAGTGTAAAACGAAGTTCCAACTGCCAAGTTGGATATGTATTCTCTGTTTCCTTGTATGAATAAAAGATCTTTTTTCTCGAGAATTTTTCCTCATGATCTGTGCTTGTGTGCAGTAAGTACCGAATTTACTGACATGAAATTTAGAACTTGCCCTTTGGAAGGTTTGAACTTCCAAGTGTTGAGAACAGGGGATAACTGATTAAACTTTCCTAAATTATCATAATTATTAAGCATCCATACCATAATTTAGAAATGTAATGTAAATAATGCATGGCAACCAATGCATCAAATGTCAAGGTGTTCGCCTATAGCGTTCAATCAGACAAAATACAGAAAGAATGCTTCTTCAGTTTGGGGCTAGGGGAAAAGAGCCACTCAAATAACCACTGCAAACGGTGTTCCTGTTTAGCTTTCTCCATCTTCAAATGGAGGCAAACCCCATTCTCTTGGGTTGAAATCCAAAAGGGAGCTCAGAACTTGGTCTGCTGCATCATGGTGAGAGTTATCAAGCTGTGGATCTGGAACCATAACTACTGACCTGCATGGTTCAAATAAAACAGGGAAACAGTAAGCAAGAACCCAAGGAATCCTGAAGTCAAACCGCTGTGTACCGTGTAGTAAGAAAAGAAAGGAGATGGGCGCCCTCTTTCTTAGAAATATACATCATCCTTAGGCTTTAATCCCAAAAAAAAAAAAAAACCCTTTTTGCTTGGGAGGATTTGAACCTCACAGTACGAGAAAGGACAAATAATGGGATGGTGTGCTATAAATGTAATAGTTCACTAGATGAAACAACACAGAATGGTGATTTATTGTGATTTACATGTAAAATTTACTAAAATAAGTGCACTTTACATCCCAGCATTCTTGGCTGCAAGAACTCCTAAAGGTGCATCTTCAAATACAAGTATCTTATGTGAATCCACTGGTCCACCCTGTGAATTTAAGAGTTCTCATAAGCCACCATAAAGCTTGATATTTAACATGTGGCTAATACTGAAATGAAGAAAATCAAAGCAACAAGACCCTTGACCTTGTTTGTTTATAGAACTAAAGAAAATTAAGAAAATCCTCTCACAGGGGTAGAAAGCTAAGCAGGGGAGTTGAAAGAGTTGAAGCTGTGAAAGTGAACATGCTCACTCAAAATCCTCTTTGACATTTTAAGTCTCTTGCAAAATCCAATGAACAATTCCCTTCCAATGTCAAAAATTTGAAAGAAGGTGAGACCTGGTATTATTGTAAAAGAACTTAGATATTTATACCTCAAATCTTCCAGCAGCAGCTAGAGATACATCTGGTGCTGGCTTGCCTTTTTTAACTTCTGGATCATCACCAAGGACTATATGATGCATCAATTTGAAAAGCTCACCATGTCTTTGTTTTTAGCTCAAAATGCCGCCTGTGACTTCTGCAAAATTACAGTAACATACGTAATGCTTATGAAACTTAAATGTCCAAAGAAACATGTCTAATCAGGTTAAGAAAAGGATAGTAAAGGACACTAAGAAATATGTTAGCCAACTTTATTTCTGATTTAAGAAACCAAAACCAACAATTAAGAGGGAAAAACAGAAACTTACCCTGTTGCCAAGGCAAATGGTATTCCTTTTGCATGAAGATGTTTAATCAAACAGCTAGCCCCTAAAATAGGGAAAAGATTTACAAGAGAGTATTACTTACGAATCATTTCCAGTAACAATAAACTAAAAACAAAATACCAAAGTTGACCTCTTCTTTTTCTTTCCCAAATTTACTCATACACAACCATCAAATACCTTTCATTTTTAGTCTAGAGCCGGTCAGAACCAGCCTTGCACTTTTAGTTTTGAGAACTAGCACTGAACATTGTGCAAAAGATTACAGTTTTAAAATCTTGGCCATTATTTAGAAGGTAGGTTCCAGATTTCAATTGTCTGCTAGTGCTGAAACCACCCTTGAGCCCACCGCCCCTTTAGCCATAAGTAATGTCTGGGAGTATTTTAAGGAAGCAACCACACGCAAGACCAAATTTTGGACCCTTAAATGTCAGCTTCAATTTGAACATCAGAAGACTTGCAAGAACTTCTTTGCATTCCACTTCCCCTATTCAATTTATATGTCAAAATGTCCTCACAAAGAAGTATACCTTTCTAGTTTCCACTAATAAAAAGGGCTGAATCTAAGAATCCTACAAAATTAATCATCTTTCATCATTTGGTTTGGTGGATAGTCATGTGAAATCTTGAATCCCTGGACAGGAAATTTCATCTTGTGCAACAAGTCATATATCAACTAGCAACTTCTCCAAAAGAAAAAAAAATGCTCATTTGGATTTGGAGGCAGTATAAAAGAAAAGCTGTTCTGCAGAAACTGAGTTATTTGATTGGAATGACACTTTCTGAGATAAATGAAGAAATTGAATAAATCAGTAACCGTATGTAGATGTTGATTGGAGAAGCTATTAAAGAAGCTCAAATTTGACATGGAATAGTCATGCAGAGGGACCCCCCTTAATATTCAAGCAAGTGATGAGAAAGAAAAAGCCATTCTTACAAATTATCATCATAAATTCATTCATAATCACTCCTTCAAGCCACAATAATGTTTGCTGGGAGAGGAAAAAGAATCAGCTACCAAATAAAAACACTAAAAGCCACTGATATAAATTACTAATTTACTTAAGATGTTTCTGCCTTGTTTGCTCTTTTTGGCAAATAAATATCAACAATCAATCTGGGTAAAACTACATAATATCATTTAAACTTAAGAAAATTTGTATTTTTCAGCAAACAATTATAAAGTACTCTTGATCCTTGCCTTTGGATTAATTATTATTTCCTAGAACTTGTACACACAACATTCTTGTGGAAAATAATTAAAGGATGGATACAATGCCTTAAAATAAAAATTAATACCTGGCATGAGCTCGCTTGATGGAAACAATTTCTGCAGCATCTCCTCTCTTTGTACAAGAAAATCCTCAGCTGAAAGTGAATCACTGATCCCAGTCTCTTCAACAAAGATCCGAGCAGATTCTATTGCTTTCTTTCCCATCATTGTTGCCTTAAGAGACCAATCAAAAGACTTGTTATATCTTGCTAGTATGATTTCCTGGACTTCAGTGTAGAACTTCTCGGTGTCTGCAGCATAACCATATCACATTAGATTAAATGTTCCTCATAAAATTTGAAAATTTTCATCTATGAGAATAAATTCTGCATGTCAGTGAAGAAAGCCTTCTCCTTCGGATTGAATTGCATAGATATTCTAGACAATACACTTATTAACCCATTCTATATTTACAAATCCTAGCACTTACGTTCTCTGAAGCTCCTCTAAACAGACTCTGTGACTGAAAGCTAAATATAAATCAACCCCATTAACCAAAAAAATTTTAAAAAGAATATCTTGGATGTTCACCTCATCACCCTTGAAAGTTCTAGCACAAATTAGAACCTATGCCATTAGTCATTGGAGCTTGTGTTCAGTGATTTCTTAGTAAACTCACTTCGCATAAATCCAATTAGGCATAACCTGCAATTCCAGGACTCAACTTGATTGCGAAAAACACAGATATGAAGTGTATCCCATCGCTTGCGAATGGGAATGATGGTAATGTTGTCCTCTGTAAGGTGTACAAGAAGAAAGATTCAAAAGAGGAGAAACAGGGACGAGGTCCAGAGGGAAGCAACGTTATGGGAAAAGGAAAGACGTGTCCGGGAAGTTCTGAGAAAGGAGCGAAAATTGTGCCTTGTCTTGACATTAATTCTGGACAACCTCTCAAGTGAAGAAGGATGAATTCTTGCTTTCCACAGTTGAACCAAAAGACTCAATTTGTGCACGGTGCGTTGTCTTCAGCAACTCCTCTCAACATAAAGGAGACTCATCATTCAGAAGCTGCCATACAGCCATCTTTCTCAACTGAGCCCTACCTTAAGGGCTTTCATCCAACAGAAGTCGTTGCATCAAGCACAGCAAATCACTGCATAGATACTGCACCAGTTGATGATGATCCTAAACTGTATTACCAGCTGCCTGCTGCATTGGGTTCAGCTAATCCCTACATTCAGGAGACTCTTTCAGAAGCTGTTATACAGCCATCTTTCTCAACTGAGCCCTACATTGAGGGCATTCATTTAGCAGAAGTTGCTGCATAAAGCACAACAAATCAGTGTGTAGATGCTGCACCAGTTGATGATCCTAAACTGTATTACCAGCCTCCTGCTGCATTTGGCTCTGCTATGCCCCACAGTCAGGAGACTCATTCAGCAGACGCGGCACCATGCACAATCAACCACTCTTCACCTGCAGAACCATGCACTATGGCTGCATCTTCGTTGAGCAGTATTACACCAACTGATGATCGTAATGTGTATTACACAGAGCCTGAATGGGAACAGGAGATCCAGCGATATCTAAGTTTTGACCCAATCGATCAGCTGAATGACCGTGATGACTTTGACAGGGAGTATTTTACTCCATTTTTCAATATGTAGCTAGCTAGCACCATGCCCAGCCATACAGATGCATATAGATGATTGCTCTTGATGTATATATTGACGTCCTTTCCCCATTCAAACTTTTGATCTTGATGTGTTTATCCAAGTTAATTTCAATAGATCCATATCTTTGTTTTAGTTATTTGATCCATGCTTTTTCCTAATTTCGATGGAATTAGATGCATATAAAGATCATTGTTTTTCAGCATGTTGATAAGTTCTGCAGACACAGGAAATTGCTGTATATATCTAACAATCAACTTCATCGTTGTTACGCTAAAAATGTGATTTAAAGCCACAATTGAACCGTATTTACAACTTACGATACCAGAGAAATAAAAAATCATAAAGAAATCTACACTAAGTGGTTACGGAATGAATTACTTTTCACCTACGTAAATAAAGTGCCTAAAAAGGAAATAATGGCGAGCTACTAGTAGTTAATGATCTCCACGGATCAACGTGTTTCTATCATCCAATTGTTACTTTCATTACTACCATATGGTTCCAAAAATTTAGTCTAAATCCATCCATCAAACAAATGACAGGAAAGTCAAATCAGACCTGAAAGTGAAGAACTAGAATGAGCATCCCTAAATTCAGAAACTTTAATAACCTCAGCTTTTTTGGTTTTGTGCTTTTGGATTTCATCTTGGGCACATATAAGCCTATACATATATATAGAAAACCAAGGTTATAAACAAGTTGTCATTTTGTATGTACATATCTATACATGCACAAGATGGAAATACCTCCACTGTAAGTCTGCAAGTTGGTTTTTTCATGAACTCCATTTCCCTATCATGAACTGCTTCAAGCTGCAGTTCAAAATCCTTTTAAAATAAATTTGATAACCAGTACTTATTGCAGTAAAAAGAACGACAAGGAAACTACTGGACCAGGTGGTATGTGCCCCAACTTTTCATTTATCATTTGAAGTGATGAGAATGCTTGGTAGGGCCTTCTTATTAATTCCACAAAAAGAAAGTACAACAGAGATGGGAATCCTCCCCTTTAGAACTTTTAAGATTGCTTTACCTGTTGAACTAATCAGGTTTCTAGAGCAATTAACATTCTAGCCAAAAGTATTGCATGAACCCAGCTTGAAAAAATCTAAATTCTAGATAGAGGAATAGGAATTTATATGACATGTTGGGTCATCTTTGTATCTTGGCACAGGGTCAGAGTTCATAACATGATTTCTAAAAACCACTTACAATTTACTAAGCTCATTGAGGCTAAGTCATAAGCAATTGTAGTGTAAACCAGGCAACAAACATTGCCACAATATTAGAACAGCAGACAATTCTTTTAGGGAAAATAAGAAGAGATTCATAAACGGTTTGCAGAGTCAGGCAACTATTTCTAGGACTTTGTTGGCTGTTGTAATAGATGGTGAATCTGAATGTTGAGTAGCTTGATAATTAGTTAGCAAACAGATAACAATCTAAGTACAACCACAGAGTGCTTAAATACCAAAGATTTTTCTCCAAAAACAGTATTAGGTAGTGAACTTCCTCCCTCAATTGGGCAGTTGGCTGTGTCATGGAAAAAGAAGGTAAAATCAGCTAATTTGAAAATAGCAAAACTAGAAAACTAGGAGAGCTTAGGATCTTTCTGAACCTGCATGGTCAGCAACAGAGATTTGCTTCATCAGAGTTAGAATTGCCTCCTGTTGACAGAAATATGTCAGAGAAATCCATCAGTCATCAGTTACAGTGTTAAACACCAAAAATAAATGGCTAAACAATACCCCCTGAAGAGAATTTGTCTGCAAAATGGTTGGTGATGTTGGAAAGAGAATGAAAACTAAACAGTTGCCTGCCATTAGATAAACAATGATACAAGGATATGCACACATTCTTGTGTCTAGGGTATATGAGTTATGTATTTCCAAAAATTTAGGACCCTAGCATGATAACAAGCAACCAAAAAATCTTAATTTAGGCCACCATAAAGTGTTATTGATGTGCTGACCTCCCTAGCTACTGACCTGCATGCTGTGACTCTTCTGCAGTAAAGGCGAAGGGCCAACCTGTAAACAAAAGGTGAATGCATACCCAACATGAAAAAGAGAAGGTGAGCACATGTTCAACATGAAAAAATAAGGAATATTCAGGATAGAATGATCTACTCACCCTTTCCAGGTCAACATTCTCAGATGTGAGTTTAGAACGTCCTCTTTGCCAAACAACAGGATGCTTTACCTTCTCATAATGTTCATCATTGTTCACAGCAAAAAGTGGGGGATTACTTTGCATGATAAAGAAACTAATTAGCAGATTAGACATGCAAGCACTTGTCTGATAATTTGATAATTTTGATGGGAGTTCAGGAACAACAAAAAATATAGCGAGGAATTTATTTTCTTTCTCTGTTTATCTTTCTACTTCGCCAATGACATGATGCCTATTAGTTTGAATGTCCAAACATACAAAATACAATCGTT